AAATAAACTTTAAATGCTTGTATCATTAATATCCTAGTAAATATGAAAATATGGAAGTAAATGAAATATAATTGATCAGTTGAGAATCAAAATCCAAAAATTGACTATGGTAAGCTAATCTAATACTATCATTGCTTAAGTCCTAACTACACTAGATTATAAACTAACATCCCGTCCTATCTTTTTTTATTTCGCTTTTTTTTTTCACCATTTTCTTTTCCCCTCCTTGATTGCGAGTACTACGAGCGATCATCACACACCGTATGTACCATGATCTTTACTACTCTTTTTTTTTTTTATCGGTATCAGTAATGTGGTTGCATAACTGGACCACAATCTTTACTAACACTCTGTCGATTCCCTGTACTCTTTTAGTAGCCGTCGATTTATTGACTTTTTCAACACTTTCCTGTCGATTGTATGTAAATGATACACAGTGTCCGATTCGATTTCATGTATGTAGAATGGGCCAATCCATTTCTGGTTCAACTTACTGCTCCACGAATTCTTCTGGGACGCCTTATACACTAATACTTTGTCCCCTATAGTGAAACTTCTTTCGATTTGAAGCTTCCGGTTATGTTGGGTTTAAACTTTTGCTGCACCGTGTTTATGTGTACCATCGTGTCCTTCCATTGTTGTGGCAACACCTCTATCAAATCAAAGACCTGCTGTAGTATCGTCCCCTCTAATTGCTCACTGCTTTTCTGGTGATGAATCGGGGTTCGCACTTCTCTCCCGTAGACTAGATAGAACAATGTCATCTTCGTCGTTCCTTGCCACGCCGTTCGATACGCAAACAGGCGGATAGTATCATCAGATCCCACTCCACCACATTCTGTACTAATTTTGCGATCGACTTGCACAACGTGCGGTTGAATCGCTCCACCAATCCATTGGTTTGCGGATGGTACGGTGTAAAATAGAGGTGGTTGATGCGGAACTTTTCCAGAAACGTGTTCAACATGCGACTCTGGAAGTTCGCTCCTTAATCTGACAGCAGGTACGTCGGACATCCATGTCTGAATACTATTTCGTCATACACAAACTCTGTTATCTTCTGTGCTGTTGCTTCCCCCAGGGCGTGAGTCTCAGGCCACTTGGTCATATAATCAGTGGCAACCACTATATAGCGATTCTTTCTGGAGGTCACAGGCAGGGGTCCCACTATATCAATCCTCATCTTAGCGAACGGTTCTCCAATGGGTATAGGATGGAGAGGTCCCTGCTGCTTGTTCTTCCCCCTCCTCTAACAGCGGTCACAGGAGCACATGTACGTAGGGATGTCTTTATATAGTTGCGGCCAATAATACAAATTTCAGATTTTATTGAATATAATGTCTTTCCCTAAGTGCCCTCCCAGCGGATGATTATGCGTAAGGTATAATATCAGCCCCAACTTGTGACGTCATAGCACCTTTAGTAGGTTCCCCGGTCGGTGCTTATCCTTCTTATAAATGTCTCCCTCTTTTATTGCGAAAAAGCTACTCTGTGCCCGTATTCTCCGGGCTTGTTGCCACGAGCATCTCGTCGGCAACTGTTGTTCTTGTAGGTATCTTTTCAGCTATATGTATTGTTCTTTGTCCATTGCATTTCTAGATTTTTTTTTTTTCTAACCAGGACACCGGAACCTGAACTGGATTCTGTTCTTCAGATTTTTCGTTTTGTTTTGTTTTTTTTTTTTTTGATGTCGTGTCAATTGCTGTCACATATTGCTATTGTCATTGTCGTTTCGTTGTTTTATTATCGCTATTGCTTTTCGTCTCATAGTAGTTGCCGTCAGATTCTATAGTAGTAGTTGAGCGAATCAAGATTAGTGGCACCCTCCGCGTCGTTCTGATAAGTTAAGTCCTCGTTCAGCAGTCCAGGTAAGTCAGACTCTTCATCTCGACTTCTTGCCTCCCCGCCGGTGGCGCTACTTTCCCGTTTCTCCTGGATGGTTAAACGAGATAATACATCAGCATTCAAATGCTTCCGTCCTGAGCAGTGGACTATTGTATAATGATACGGTTGAAGACAGAAGATCCGTCGCGCTCTTCTATCCTTTAGCTTGGAAGTTTCCAGCCACTTGAGTGCGGAGTGGTCAGTTACTACCACGAATAGTTTCGTGTAGAGATAGTGGTGGAAATACTCAATTCCCTATATCACAGCTAGACACTTCTGCTCCGTCGCAGTATAGTTCCTTTCGGTCTTTGTCAAACTTCTACTGACGTATGCGATTGCATATTTTCTTCTTGCGTTGTCGATCTGTGCCAACACAACCCCTAACTCCGTCCCGGATGCATCGGTGTGCAGGTAAAATGTCTTTTCAAAATTCGAATACTACAGAATTGGGTCAGTCATCAGGTGGGTCTTCAATCGTTCAAATGCTAACTGTTGCTTATCTGTCCACTCATACTGTGCATTCTTTTCGAGTAATTGATGCAACGGTTTGGCTATCGTCGCGAATCTGCTAATAAACCTCCGATAGTAGGAGGCAAGCCCAATAAAACTTCGTAGTTGCCTCATGTTCCCTGGTACTGGAAAGTCTCTTACCTTCACTATCTTGTCCTCGTCTGGCCGGATGCCGTCTCTCCCCACGACATGGCCTAGAAACCCTACATTCGGTAAGGAAAACTTACATTTTTCCACATTCAACCTCAACGAGGCCTGTCATAGCTCTCTAAAAACACAGGCCAGATGACTAGTGTGTTCCGGGAACGTCCACGAGTATACGATGATGTCATCGAGGTATACGGTCACGAATTTGCCAATGTGATTGTAGAGTACCTTGTTCATCAGTCTCTGGAATGTAGCCAGAGCATTGCATAGCCCGAATGGTATCACTTGGAATTCATATATTCCAAACTTTGTCACGAAAGCTGTCTTCTCGTGGTCTCTCTCCTGGACTCGCACTTGCCAATACCCACTAGTGAGATCGAGGTTTGAGAACCACTTTGTCTGCCCAAGGGTCTTGATTAAATTGTCGATTTTGGGTAAGGGGTGCGCGTTCTTTTTGATTACTGCATTTAACTTTTAATAGTCCACACATAGGCAGTGCTTACCATTCTTTTTCGGCACTATTACGATTGGTAATACCCAGGGGCTCTGTGATTCTAGTATCAGGTCCTGGTCTCTCATTTTCGTTAGCTCCTCCTTTACATATTCGTGCTCATCTGAGGCCAACCTATAGGGGGCTTGCTTGATTGGTTTTGCGTCACTCGTATCAATCTCATGTTGGATTACGTCGGTCTGGGTAAGTTCATTTAGCTTTTCGGCAAATTATCCTTTTTCTCTCTCGAAAAGTTTTGCTGCGTCTTCTCGTCCTCTTCTGTCAAGCCAATCAGGTCCACCCTCAGTTTCTCATCCTCATACTTCTCATCATCCTCCAACGTTGATATCTCCTCTAGGACGGTCAGATATACCGCTGGACTCGGAATCCCTTTGTCCATTGTTTCTTTCTTCTTGGACCGTTGTCCTGTATAATACCCTTCCTTCTCTTCTATGTTCTTGCTCTCATACTTCAACTCGTCGAAGGTATCTTCACTCTCGTCATCACTTACTTCCAATTCGTCAGGCTGTGCCAACCCCTCTATACCGTTGTGTGAGATCGGTACCTCCAGTTTTTCCCCTCGATACCTCAACAGTATTTTTCGTTCGTCGAAGTGGATCCTGGCATTCTCTCTTTGGAACTAGTTAGTTCTGAGTAATAACATCTCATCTCTGGACTTTATGACCCTTAGCGTCACGGGGATGTTTACTTCTTGCACCGTTATACTTACCTCTTTTACTTTCCTTAGGGTCCTCTCTCTTGTCCCATTTGCAGTGATGATGACGGAGGTCGACTTCTCGTTGATCTTCAGCTGAAGTTTGTCCAACAATTTCTTTGTAACGATACTTATTGCTGCCCTGTGTTTAGGATAACTATTACTGTCTGGTTTCCGATCCGCACATAGCATTTAGCTACAGTCGTTTTAGGAGTATCTATTGAGTTTATTTGGTTTGATTCCGTTGAGGGGTTTTGCCCATTTCAATATTTTCGAAAGATTACGCTGCTGGTCGGTGTACTTCAGTAGTTGCCCGTAAGTTGCGTTTGCTTTCATGAATAGAATGTCCTCTGAGATGTCGTACAGATCTAGCGAATTCACCACTGATTGTAACCTTTTTCGTCGTGGCTTCTTAGTGGCTCCTATTGCTTTGGGGGGCTCTATAATCACCATTGGCTCCTGCGTCCTTATATATTTTGGTACTTTTTGTGACTCGTCTACTCTTTCCTCCTCCGGGCGTCTCGATCGGTTCCTCTTTTTCACTATCAGCATGGTGGCCCCCAGGGTATATGCTTTCTCTTCTTCCTCTTCATATTCTTCCTTGACCTCTTCCTCATAACAATATTGCACCTGCGGGGTCACAGTCTTCGGAGGTTCTTTAAATACTTTTCCTTCGGGGCATCGTCGAGCTATATGGCCCTCTTTCCCGCAGCTGTAACAAACTAAGCTCTTCCTCTCTTTGTTTTTCCACTCTTGTGGCGGTTCCCTCCTCGGATTCGAGTGGCT